TTTTTTTTTTTTTTTTTTTTTTCTTCTTCTTCTTCTATGAGTGCCTAGGATTTGGAATCAAAATTTGACATTTGATGATGGTCCCGACATTTCCCTGCGACATGATCACATTATTTACTTCTCCATTCTAAGAATGAAGATCATCCCATACACCAAGTCTTTAAAGCATGTTTTGTCCCCCTTACATGCATCCTAAGTAAACTCTAAAGAGGTTACCCAACATAAAATTGTTCAAATCAATACATGTTTAATCATGAAGTTCCTGTGATTGAGTTATTAAAGAGAAAAGTGCATGTTGTTGGTATAGATAGTAACTTTCATTTCCTTTTAACTTTTTTTAGTCATCTTATTCTCATGATTACTCTCATTCAGATGTGATCTTGCTTCACCCATATATCCCTCATTTACTTGGGTGTCATATGGAGATCTCAGACAATGTGTATTTTCCTTTTCGTTGGCTCAATCATAGGAAGTTTGGTTAATTGCTTGGAGCAATTTTATATTAGGTAACTTCTCCAGAGTTTTCATAGGACAAAATATGCGGGAAAGACTTGTGTTGATTTGTGGGGATGGTCTTTAGTGTTGGAAAAGAGAAGTAATGTGACTATATTGCAAGAGATGCATGAGAATGTCGAAGTCATCAAGTGTCAAATCCGAATTTCGAATTTTTTAGCAAGTTCAAACATTAATATCAAAGATTTCAAGACAATTTAAAAAACTATTCATATAAATACTTTCATTTTTCTCTCATTTGTTTAATTTTTACATCGACTAAAGAGGACTGTCCAAAAATTAAAATCTCTAACCAAACAATAAATCGCCAAATAAATAAAAAAACATTGATAAAAAATATCATTTTCGATTATTGGATCAAGTTTCTTTACCAATTTGGTAATATATGTTAAGAGTATAATAAAACTAAAATAAAGTACTAAAATTTTTGTTATCCATATACTGATGTTAAGAATATTTTTCTGAAAATTTGACTTTTTCATGGACGTGATTATTTACGAGTTTAAAACCCGAGAAAATGATGCTAATTGGGCTTTGACTTTTTAGTCCAATTTGAAATGGGCTGTAACTCTACCCAACCCAAGGAGAGTGACTGTGTATACGTGTTTTAAGATCGTGAGATTGATGATGATACATAGCATGCTAAAATGGGCAATATCTTTCTATCGATCATTATCGTATTATTATTCTTATTATTATAATAAAAACAATAATTAAGCTAAGTACTGAATTTGTGTTTGAAAAAAAAGAGAATGAAATGGTTGGTTGTAATTGTATTTATTTGGAAGATAGTGAAGAATTTTGATGAAAGGAAAGGGGGGTTTAATTGGGAAAAGTGGTGACAATTATTTAATGCAATTAAGTAAAAATTATTAAGTTTGTTGAATTATTTAATGGGAATAAAGTTTTTCGGAATTATTAATTCAATCATAGTGGTGGGAGAGGGAACAGGTAAGCATGGTTCCATTAAAAGCCTGCAAATCTGCTATAAATAAATAAATAATAAATAATAATAATCATTTTCAAAATTTATTCTAATTTTGAACCATAAAACTCAACAATCAAACATTTACGTGCATCACTAATATTAATAACAATAGTCAAATATTCTTAATCATCCTAATAAACTTAAACATAGAGTAGGGTTGAGTTGTAACTCTATTTTTCAGTTTTCAACACTAATGTTCTAACCCAACGTTTAAGTTGGGTAATTCAAGTTGATCGGGTTCTTAGGTCACATGAACAACACTAATGTTTGAATAGCCCTCTTAACTGTAAAAAGATGACAAGGGGGGCGAGTATTAGCGAGTAAAAAAGAAAGGGAGAGTTTTTGGTTAGAAGGGAATGTTTTTGTTTTTAGGGTTTTAGGTAAAGTAATGAATACAAAGGGAAAACAATAAGGAGTAGGTTAAAAGCATTCTTAACTAAAAGTGTTCAATCCCCTTTTCTCTCATATTTGACTTTATGTGAATTTAATTTCTTTTCCTCAACCTTATTTTTCTTAAATTAATTTATATTTATATAATTTAATCCCGCTGGTTTAACAAGAATGATCATAATAAAAATAATTGGATTCGATTATTCGTCTCAAATTCTTCTTAATAAAATAAAAATATGATTAAATTATTTCTATTTCTTAACATATGTTTGAGTTATACCTTTAGACCTTGAATAATTACGTGTTCGAGATATGGTTAATCGTTAAAATAATTTTTATTTTAATAGGAAATATCTTCTATTTAAAAATAATTATTTTTATAATAAAATAATTTTGTTGGGTGGAAGAGCTTTTGGCAGGCTTTATGAAAAGGTTTATGGTGTAAGGTGGTGGTGTGGTGGGTGAAATTTAGAAGAACTTATTTTAATAAATTTATATTAATTTATAATTTATTAAATTATAATATATATAATAATACCTTTAAATAATTTAAAATTTTATGAATTGAGTTAGGTTTATGAATTAAAAAAAAAAATAGTATATATGCATTCAAATTTTTTAATTTTTTAATTTAATAACGAAGAATATTTTAAAAGTTTATAAAAAGTTTTAAAAGTGTTTTAAAAATTTTAAAAATAATGTAAAAGGGTTAGATCCATTAATTAGGGAGATTGGATGGATATGGTGTTGGAAAGGTGAAGGAATATTATTATTCTCCCTTTTCTCTCTTTTTCCCTAACAATTATTCGTTTATGTCTCAATGGTGGGGGCTATTGTATTCAAATCTTCATATCTTTACCCCTTCCTCTTTATCTTTTTAAGGCTAACTTCCATATTTTGATCCGCAACGCACCATGTCGGTCCGTCGGTGGTTAACCCACTTACATCCTTTTTACCAACCTAACCTAAGTTTGATTCTCTTCTACTGTATGTTGAGGATTGTTGGGAGTGAGTCCACATTGACTAATGTTGAAAATGATCATAAATTTATAAATAATGAATACATCTCCATTCGTTTAATATGGTATCAGAGTCATGTCTTAACCTTAGCTATAACAATAGAATCCTCAAATATCGAACAAAGATTGTGAGTCTCGAAGGTGTAGTAAAAAAAGTAAACATTTTGGAGGAGCTCAAAGTAAAGGCACGAGAGCTAATACTCAAAGTGGACAATATCATACCATTGTGGAGATTCATGATTCCTAACACTATATTTACAAAGTTTAGTTTCATGTGTTTCTCTACAACTTTCATGCGATTCTTAAGATCAGATATTCACCTGAGAAAAAATTTCTTACAAAGTTCATATCGTGTGATTAAAATAAATAATTTAAAAGTTTAATAAATATTTAATTTTTTATTTAAATTTGTTAAATAATAATAATAATAATAATAATAATTCACATTTTAGGAGTAAAAATAATAAAATAAAAGTGATATTTTGTTAATCCGATAATTGAGACTCCAAAACTTTAAAATAAGACAATATGTCTATCAATGAAAGAAATGTTTTAAACTTTTGAAGTCACATCTCTATTATTATTTATAAATATATTTTATTATTATTATTTATAAATATTGCTTTTTTTTATTTTATTTTAATAATAATTGGATAGCAACAAAGCACTTCGGGTCACATCACATCCATACAACTAAATCAAACATATAAATTAATAATTTCTCTCTAAAAGTTTTGGATTATTTTGTAATTTGTAAAAAAAATATTTTCAAAAAAATCAAAACTGATTGCTAGTGGTTAGCTTGCATTATTTATTATTATTTATTATTATTATTATTTTGTGATTGCAATATTAAAATTTGAGTCAATTGGTATATTAAATATTTCCGTAGTAGTTGACTTGTATTCATTGTTATGGGTATTTCATTTTTTTTTTTTTTTTGTATATATATATATATATATATGTATTTTCTCTTTTTTGTATGGTTTATTATAAAATTAATAAAATTGTGCTCTAGTAATATTGAATGTGTCATCGGGACTATATAGGAGGGAGTCTTGGTAGGTTTTACCCCAACTTATGGGAATCGACACTCAACTAGAGAGGTCAAACTACTATAATATACGACCTTCCTAACAAAATACTGAAAGTATCAATTTATGAAGTATATGTGAAGAAATCTTGGTGGGTTTTACTCCAATCGATCAGAATTGACACCCGGCCATCATGATAATAGATGGGTAATTGCTAAAAAAAACTTTTAATAAATTTCACGTGTCAAATACATGAGGTCCCATAACTAATTTTTGATTAACATAATGCATGTATGCTCACCAAGAGAAACAATGAACAAACAATGATGATGATGGCTATTCAATCGAGACAAGAGTTGACCCGTTTAATTCCAAGAGATGAATGAATCGATTGTAACGAAGTGAGTTTGAAAGAACGGCAGGAATTGAGAGCTCAGAGAGTCGAAGCTAGTAAGATTGTTGTTAAAATTTTGATTAAAGATTCAGGGACGATAATGAAGTGGGGCCAGAGAAATATTATAAAAATGAAGAACACATGCATGGTTGGGTGAATTTGTTTAATGAAATGATTCAAACTTTATGGGTACAATAATATAATGGGTGTGTTTGGAGATATACATAGCCTTTTCATTTTCATCATCAAAACATTCCAATATAATTTTGCTTATATTTTTAAATTCTTTCTTTAATCAATATGACAATGTCTACCTTTATTTAATATATTATTACTAAACAGTCTCATGTTACGCACAATACAACTTTATTATATTTTTATTTACTTTTCCTCCTCTTTTTAATACCCAAAATTAAATTATTTTTCTAAAAATATGTATTTTTTAATGAGCCTACACCAAGGTAGTTGTATATATTGTTGAGATTTAATTAAGTTTGTTACATATATTTAGATCGATCAAATGATATTAAATTGTTCAAAACGACCAAGGTCTACCGCTAGCAGATATTATTATCTTCGAGCTTTCCCTCAAGGCTTTAAAAGCCAATGTGAGATATCACAATCCATCCCTTTCGGGGCCCAATGTCATCGTTGACACTCTTTCCTTCTTCCAATTGATGTGGGACTGCTCCCAAATCCACCCCCTTCGGAGCCTAGCGTCCTTATATTCCCCTTTAGGGAATAGCGAGAAGGCTGACACATCGTCCAGTGTCTAGCTCTGATACGATTTGTAACGGCCCAGATCCACTGTATCCTCAAGGCTTTAAAAAGCTTCTGCTAGGGGAAAGTTTTCACACCCTCATAAATGGTAGTTTGTTCTCCTCCCCACCAATGTGGGACATCACAAACACAGACTAAATTATTATTTTATTACAACTTCATATTATTTAATTAGTCATAACTATTTAATTTTAATTTAAAATGATCAATTTATGTAACCACGAGACCACCGCTAGCAGATATTGTTTATTCTACACATTAATTAAGACCATACAAGTCCCTTTTAGAATTGCCTTTTTGGAAGTAAAATAAAGAGTAGAAAAAGTAATTGCCTTTTAAAGCTTTAATTAGAGATTATAAAATATAAAAAAACACGCAAAGGTAATCCATCTTTATATGATCAATTTTTTTTTTTTTAATTCTTAAAAAGTTAGGAAAAAGTTAATTTCATCGGTACCCTTTACTTTTCTTTTTCTCTTTTTCACATTTATATATAATTATATTTATATATTTTTTTAATATCAAATATAATGTCCTTTTCCAATTTTTAATTTGTTTTAGGTAATCTTTTTATTTCTTGAATTAATTTCCATTGTTTTGATTTTTAGTATTTTTTAGAAAATCACTTTTATATTTATATTTAAAAAAAAATAAATTAAAAACCACTTTTTTATTTTTATTTTTTTTTTTAATTTTAAAAACTTGATTCACATATTTAAACTTAATTTTTGTAACAAGAAAAAACATTTAAAGTGTGAAATTAAGGTCCTCAATTATAGTTGGTTGGATAAAGATGGAAATTAAAATTTGACTTATCTTCTAATAAAATAAAATAAATAATAATAATAATAATAATAAAAAAGCAAATTGTAGGTATTAAATGGAACACATGCAAGCCATATATAAATATAATTGAAAAATAAAATGAAAAACATAATTTTGTCAATATTCACTTAATAAACATGAGAATGAAAGGACCCATTTTTTCTTTGGTGTAATAAAGAGGGTTTGGTGGATGAACATGCAATTCATTTCATTTCATTTTATGTCTTTATTATTTCTTATGTTCATACTCCTGCCTCAACCTTTTTTGTTGCCCTTATCCACACTCCCAAAACTTTCCATCACAATCTCTTTACTTCGCTCGTATTCATTTTAATCTAAGATCAGGGAAGACTGTATCCCCTGATTGATCAAGGTCTGGTTGATTGAGTCAATATTCGTGTATGATTCTTCTTGGCAAAGATGATTTCTTTCTTTCTTTCTTAACCAGCTGGTTGATAGACGTAACACGAATATGCTTAACAATTCCTTATCAAATTCTTTACGATATGACCGATTGTGGCGTCAGCTACTCATTTGTGTGCATACAAATTAACTAATTATGAATGGTTCGATTTTATGATATTTTGTTGTCAATGTATGCTTATCTCAACCTTTACAATGGATTACCTATTAAGAATTTTTACTACTTTAATCTTTCCAAAATTCTTTAGACTTGTTTACCGCTTCTAAATGATGTTGGCATGTATTTGATATCAAACCCGAGTCGATCTTTATTCATATTTTTACATTTATTTTTGTGAAAAATACTAGAAATTAGCTGAAAAAAAAAAAAAAAAAACTATTAACCGTAACCCACCTTGATTCTTTAATTGCTATATAAATTTAGAGGCAGTGAACATAAAAATATCAAATAATTTAAGAAAAAAAATATTGGGAAGAGAAAAAAAAAGAAAAAAGAAAAAAAGTAAATTTATCCTGAGTCGTCTCAGCCTCCCTCATATCCAACTCTTTTAACCATTTTTTCCCTTTCTTTTACAGTTTTACCCTTCCATTCAAGTATATTTACATCTCTATCCAACAAAGTTACAAAATTCCAGCTGCGTTGAACCTCTGCAAATCTCACAGTTTTTCCCCCACAACCACCTTGATGCTACTAGGAAATTGACCTTCTGAGCCCCGACAACGTATGTCGCTGTCGGAATCGAGCTTGACCACCATGGACTCGAAGGCATTGGTAGTCGGAAGACGAGCTTTGAGCTCTTTCAAGCTCGGAACGAGAAAGTTTTCGGTCCATTCTTCAACATTTGTGTTCCCGAGCCATACCCCGCTCGTGATCTTTTCAAGAGCATTCTCCTGTAGATCAAGTGAGATCTTTCCCCCAACAATGGATGAAAACTTCTTCTTGATGGTGCTTGTGATGTTGTGCTTGATCGGGGCGAAGTCCACTGGTTTGAAGACGATTGCATCGTCGACTGTTTTGAACATCTCTCGTGAGGCCGATGTTGTTGTGAACGATAAATGACGAATGTTGAGGCCATGCTCGGTTTCGTGATCGGTTGTTACATCACTTGAATTCAATGATCCATCTGTCTTCTCATCCTCTGCATCTGCTGATTCGTTAAGATCAAATGCTATGGCTGAACCAGTTTCCACTCTTGGTTTCAAACACCGCTCTTCACCGTGCGCCCATTCGACTCTACGCTTAACCGTCTGCTCGCTAACAGATAGTTTCAACTGCCAAGCGCTTCTTGCTAAACTAGCAAACTTCTCTTCCTCGAGCGAATTCCCGTTCGATAAGTGTTTCATATCATCCGGTATCCAGGTTGCTGTAAGGATGAAGATGATATTACCAAGGCTAATTTCGCGACCGTGAGAATCGGTGAATCGACCTCTCTCCATAGCTCTTCTTATGCTTCCACGAACCAACATATCAGATTCGTCAAAATCATCAAGAACAACGACAGAAAATCGGTTCCTTCTAACGGCCTCTGATATTCTATCTAACACAGTTCTACCACGAATACTTATCTCCGATTCTCCATCACTCCGTTTCGAGCCAAGACAAATGGTTACAGGATTGGATCCCGATACCAACTCTGCAAGAGCAGTTGCCATCTTCTTCTTTCCGACTCGATCGGGACCCAAGAATAAGAGCCACATGTCTCCTTTTGGAACCGTACCTCGTCGTTTTCCATTTCCCAATTTGAACTGAGTCACACTTGTAGCCAAGGCTGATGCTGCTTCTTGCTGCCACCATACCTTCTCTAATATACCTTTGAAGAGCCTCTTGTACGTGTCGATATCCGACGCATCGACAAATTTACTACTCTGCAGTTCACAGACTTTGTTCTCAGGTGCAGAAGATATGCAACCGAGAAAGTCCTTCACACGCTCTCTATGCGTTTCCTCAGCCGAGATCTCACCATCGTTCATTCGCCCTAGAGCCAACTCAGTCCTTACAGGGCTACCCGATCTCGAGATCGATACAACCTTTTCGGATTGTTTGTTGGCCAGAAGTGGATTTGTTTTCAGCTGCAGAGTTTCACCAAATCCTTTATTCAGCTGTAACTTAGGTTGGGAAGGTTGATGCCTGAGCAAATTCGAACTGTACAAACCCGTTAAAGGGAGAGACATCGGTATCGGTACGGTTCTATCGGAACCAAACGTACTCAGATTATGGAAATTAGGATGAAGATTCAAGCACGTATCGTGCCATTTCTTCTGTAGTTCTTGAGTCTTCTGCTTTTGCAACAGTTCTTTATCCAAATTCTGAAACAGGAAAGATTCTTCATTTAACAAATGCTGCAGATTGCCAATGAATAAATCAAGAATTGCAGTCGAACTCACCTCGGTCGTGTTGTGTTTCTTTGCATCTTCATCTCGGGCATTCGCGTTCTGCAGCCACGGAGGGAGAGACGATGCCTTGGCTCCTTCTGGTTTAGGTACATAAGATGGTTTGTCAAACTCATTGGCTGCAAGTTTTTCGAGTTCCTGTTCATAATTTTGCATACATTGAGAGCAACAACTTGTTTTCTGAGAAGGATCAAGGCTCTTATGCATCACCGATCGCATCGGAATCGTGGTCACAGTCGGGAATCCCTTGATCGAGGATAACGATTCAGCTGGGCTACTAAGAACCCCAGTGGTACCAAGCCTAATAAACAGGACACAGATTATGTTTGAAGCATTCAATCTAAACCAACAAAAGAATTTGATGCAAACAATCAAAATGATTCAAACCTACAGAACAAGCATTCATTCATAAACAGGTCGAAATCGATCAAAGACAGCAAGCTATACCTCGGAAACAATCCGGGAAGAGGCGCACGAGCAGCAATGGGCACAGCCTGCAAGTCCCAATCATTCTCCATGGATGGATGATAGACTTGACACCTTAAATATGTCTCACAAGTTGCAGTACCAATCAACCAAACCCGACCACCATCGCCGTTTCCATATTTGGCAAGAAGCTTCCCCATCTCTGTCACCGCAGCACGCCCGCCTTCCGAAACAACCTGCTGCTGCTGCTGCTGCAGCATTGTGACCGACCCCGAACCACCCCCGGTCGCAGGCTGCTGCTGAACCAGCCATTTCAAGTCCCCCATATCAAGAATAACCCCTCCATTACCATTCAGATTCTCCATTCTACTCTCCACCAAATCTCCCAATTCCTTGAGCCTATCAGAAGAACGAATCTCCTTATCCAAATGAATCACATGAACATTACAGAGTATCCCATCCCCCAATTCTCTATTTTCAATTCTCTTTAACAATTCTTTCACCACGGCTTCTGGCTCCGACTCCCCAACCAGCACTGGATTCCTCTTCTTTGATCGCAGCAATATGTCTAAGACCTTCCTGACTTCCTCCCCCCTCTGCTGCACCGGAGGGACGACGCTCCCCTGCTGCTGCAGCCGTGGATTCAAGTACAAATTCCTCGGTGGTGGTCGAAACCCCAATCCCCCAATCGGCGAAGAACTCGCCGGAGCCGGCGTATTCAACGACTGTTCAATGGTAGCCTTAACAGCAGGGCTAGAAAAACTAGCTTCCCTCATAACACGGCTCACACTCGGGTCATCAAGAATCGAGATAATCAGCTGTTCGAGCTCAACTTTAACAGCCAAGAGAGGCTGTTGCTGTTGTTCGGGGCAGCCACGGCGCTGATGGGCTTGAGCACGCTTAAGAGCAGCCATAAGCGCGTTGGAAATGGGCGGCTCAGCACCAGGACTAGCGTTTTGCGCCGTCGGAAGTCGCTCAAGGGCGACGCTAAAACAGAGCTCAAGCGCACGACACTGAAGGGGATGAGACGAATTTGGGTGCGATTTAATACAGGCTTGCCGGAGATACCCACTCGGAGAAGAGAGAAGCGTCGCCGCCACATGAAGCGGCGTCGTTTGTCCATGAATCCGACGACCAGCTTCGGCTATAGAGTGATTCAGCACACTCGCCGCCTCCGGCGTAAGAGTCTGCTGAATCGTACTCAACCCAGCTCTCATTTACAATAGAAAAAAGAAACCCAGTTCCCAAATTCCCTCAAAAACCAAACGAATCAAAGAAAACCGCAACTAAAATAAAAAACCCAGATGAAAAAGGTCAATAAAAAGAGGAAATCGATCGAAAAAATCGACAAATTCCCATAACCCAGAAGAGAAAAATGAAATCAAAAGCTTAGCATAGCTTCAATCTTCTTGTAATTTCATAACAAGGGATCTAGGAATACAAGAAAATCAATATATCTGTATCCATTAAGAATCAGAAGATGCGTAAGAAGAAGAAGAAGAAAGAAAAAAGAGGGGAAAGTCAGAATTGAAGAGAGACAAAGAAAGATGAGATCCCCTCATTCACAAGAACATCTTCTCTCTCTCTCTCTCCCCCCCCCCCCCCCTCTCT